GAAGGAAAAAAGTAACGAAGAAAAAAAAGGAAATTTTTCAAAAATTATAATTTATGAAATTGAAGCAGAAGCAATTATAATATTCAGAAATTATTTATAATTATATTTTTTAGTACATTTATTCGATGTTCAGTCGTAATAAATTATTATCCATTCGTTTGATTATTATTTTTCTTACTATGATTGTATTTCTTGAAGCAATAATTATTGGAATTTTATTCCTTCAACAGGTAGATATTTTTCAAACTTCAATTTTTTTTTTTTTAAATGTAAGACGAAGATAATTGAAAAGTAGCATTTAAAACAAAATTTTGTAAAGGACAAAAAAAACTTTTGTAAAAAAATTAAAAAATAAAGAATTTAAGATTTTTAAAATTTTAGCCATTGAAATTGATCAATCATCAAAATGATACGTGTGAAATAGCAATAAATCATATGCGATATCGACGAGAAATACGTGAAAATGAATGGAAATCTACAGATTTATCATCTACACTGTACCTTCCAATTTATGCACAAATTTCGGTTAATTTTATAATTAAAAAACCCTTCTGTTTATTTCAAATATGAATTTTTATTCAAGATGCAATTTGATATCCTTTTTTAGAAGAATTTAAATATTTGAGAGTTATTAAAGTCCAAAATCAAACTAATTGAAAACATTTTAAATTACTAACGGTACATATTACTATATAATTTGTATATGCATATATATTTTTTCATTTGAAGTTTAAGATTTTTATACAATCAATCTGCTATGAACAATGTATTAGGATAAGATAAGATATTAGGGATGTTATAACATTCCATCGAATTACTTCCTTGAGGATAATTCCGATAAATAATGATTACAATTTCAGGATAAATCATTGAAAGCTATTTGTGAAGCACATAGCAAACGACGAAAGAAGCATAAGTGGAAACACGCAAAAAACATTAAAAGTTATAGCCACAGACCAAAAAGCTTGAAAAAACGAGGTAATGCTTTAAAAAAAAAATCGAATGAAGTCGAAGTTAAAAGCATAAAAGCTTTCTGTTAATTCGATCATAAGTGAATCCTACCATAAATGAATCTCTCTTATAGAAAAAAAAAATGTCTGGTATTTAAATTTCCATGTTTTCACAACTGTTCACGAGCTAATCGGGAATTCAAAAATTCTTTTTTGCAAAGATTACTTTTAACACATGAAGGAACAGAAAATAGAACTGAAATTTTACAGTGCAATAGTACAGAAAGATTTTATTTCATTATCATGCTACTTTATACTTTGATTTTTCGTCTGCTTATGAGTAAACTGCTTTTAAACATGAATTGTGAGTAAATTTAATAACTGTTTTGCAAAATGTTTCGAACCAAAATTTTAATCTTAAAAAAGAAATGTTCTAAAGTAACGAAAGCATTCTCTATTTTGCAAATATTTCAATTCAAAAATTTGATCTCTTCAATTTCATTACGTTTCATTTCACTCTACAATTTCTGTTGCATTTGTTATGTATGTATTTCTCTAAATTTTTCCAACATCCAACATTGCATTTTTATTAGTTAGCTAGCTCATATTAGCTAGCTAACTAATATGAAACTAATATAAAACAGCATTTTTTCCAATATAATTAATAATATAAAACAGCATTTTTTCAATTATTTCTATACCTGCAAAAAAATAAAAAAAAAACAAAAACCTCCTATTTCAATTTTTAGATTGTGGTCCAATAAATTCAATTTCTCAACCACATATTTTGGCTCGTCGTTTGAATAAAATTGGTGGCATTGTTCGGTATGGTACACGTTGGTTTCAGGTTAAAACCGTTTCAAAATTTTCAAATTTCATCTTTTACCATGTCGTTTTCATCATTTCTATTTCACTATTTTACGTTATAACGAAACCATACTTTTATAAAACCCATTAGTTGTTGCTGTTAAAGCATTTGTGACAATTAAGTACAATCCATTTATAGCCTCATTGTAGAATTGGAATGACATTTCAGTTATAAATTTGAAGTTCCTTGCAGAAATCCCACACTGCCACACGTGGAAATTTAACATACTACATATTGTATCTTTAAAACAAATAATTTAATTATAATAATAAACAAATTTTTTGGCCCAATTCAGGATTAAAAAAAAATAAAATCATAAGAAAATCGAAAATTAGAATATCTAATGATGTATTTTGGCGTGTATTGTTTTAATAGGATCAAAAAAATTTTTTTACCATTTTATCACTTGAAAATTCTTCAATCACTGTATCATTTAGTAAGAAATTAAAATTTGGAAAATCCTTTTTAAAGCTAATTTAAAGCTACTTTATTCATCGGAAAATGAAACATCCGATGAAATATATATTACAACATTTCATAGAAACTGTCAGATGTCCATCATTTAATTACTATTAAAATATAAACAAATTAAAATCTCATTTCTACCGACTTTAATATTTCATTCATTTTTCTTCTTTGCTTACTTTTCATTTTAATTATAAATAATACGAATAACAGACAGAATATTCGTTGGGATATAATGTATTTGAATACTGTAATCTAACTGATCTACGATCTTCGCATCCATCCGCGGTACATTCCTTGGATATTGCACAATTCGACGGTACGGACAATACCGCATGTAATGGAAGTAATTTTATTTATTATGCATCATCGACATCGCATATTTATTCATATCAAATTGATGAAAAACTTTCAAAAAGTGCGGCAATTGGTGCTTCAAAAGTTTGTTTCCAATTTTAAATTATATTTTAAATTGTTAAAAAAGTTAATAGATCAAAAAGATTATTTTGAATGTATTATCATGAAAATTTGCATGAAATCAATGTCATACATTACAAATGCATGCTTTAGTTTTGTTATTCGCAAATACAAATCAATGATCTCTTTGTAAATTCATCTTCAAAAATAACTTCAAAATTTTGAAATATTTCTCTGAAAAAGACTGCATGGATAGTCAAGAAAACAAAAAACAGAGATTAAGTCTTTTTAATCCCTCATTCAAGCTATTAATTATTGCTATTAGATGATTTGTCCAAATTCGTTCTTGTGCTAAATCTTCCATGTCAAATCTTAAGGCAATAAATATTACAATATGATAGATTCTGAACAGATGACGCATCTTTGACTTTATGCAAATTTATCCGTATCCGTTCAAGGATAACAATCAGCTTTTACAACTGTCATAACAAAATCCTCCGTCAGTTATTGTGATATATCATCGTCATGTCACATAAAATCCGGAACTAACCACTGACCACTGACCACTGACCATCTGGGATGCTAGCATTATGTGTTATGTCTGTTTCGGGTGTTTTAAAACGATTATACGACTCTTTGATTAATCACATGAAAATCGGTGATGTTTTTCCATTGAAAAGAAAGAAAGGGTGAGAGGGGAGGAAAATACCATTATAAATTTGCTTTCTAAATTTTTTGGAAATTATTTCTCTCCAACCATTTCTCTCTCTATCTAATACATTTCAAAAAGCGCATTTCTTTTAAATCCAAATTTTAGAAATGATCTAATTCTTAGTACTTGAAAATCAAGCAGAACGATTTTCTCATTTCATTTGATCAATCCGTTCATTTCAATGTACACACCAGGAGGGCTCTCATTATCCTTCCTTTTACAAACGAACAAAAATTGAAGGAAACATTTCGGCTCATTTATCTTTTACTCTTTTAAATGAAAATTTTACAATTTGAGGCGATAGAGTGAGAATTTATCGATCAAGCAAAATTTGCAATTAGATATAATATACAATTTTTTAACAAAATTAAAATTAAACATTCATGAAATGAAAGTATAGCGAAAATAATTGAAATGTTAAAATTTATGTAGAAATAAAGTTTCAACCTTAAATTTTGATAAAAATTTATAAGAAGTTTAAAAATTCAAAAATTTTCAGATTCCAATTTATAAATTTTCGCATTCGTACCTGGATTTGGAAAATGACGGTGGCCATTTATGGATTTTATATCATTCCATTCCGGATGGCATCCTGAAAGCCTCGTTACGGGATTGTATATCACTTGCGGAACAGAAATCATGGATTTTACAATTTTTGGACACAAAAACCATTGTCAATGCATTCATTGCTTGCAATCATTTGTATACCGTAACTCAAAATATCACTTCAAACATTTTAAATATTATATATGATTTCGGTACTGATAAGTTTTTCGATAACACTCCACAAATAGGGAGCTGGAAACGGCACGGTATACCGTCGAGTGTACAATATGATCATGCAACAAGAACTATTAATATTTTTGATAATGGTATTATTTACAGTATTGCAGTACAAATGCAATAAAAATTATTGAAGATGAAACAATTAATAGGGCGATATAGAAATATTGTGCAAATGTATAATATTTTTATTTAGTACTTAAAATTTCAAATATGATTATGCAATATCGAGCTTTCAGTAATTTTTTTTCTCGCTAAGCATGTGCAATGCTTGTTTTGAAGATTTTGCTTTTAACTTTCATTTCTCGCCACGTGTGCAAAATTCTTATTTTGAATGCCTAACATTTAATTTAGGAAGTATGTGAAATTAAAAAATATTTGAGTAATAAAGAAAAAAACATTTTAAAACATATCATATTTATGAATATTACTCTGCAACATAAATCTATAAATAATACCTGCGTTACATCGTTTATAACTTAAAATTAAAAATTAATGTAATTTTAAATCTTATTTCTTTTAACACACTTCGATACTGTTTTATATTAATGAATAGTGTTAGTACAAGAATTTATCGACTTAATTTTTAAATCAGTTTAAATCATTCATGAATGTCTGTTAAAATTTCATTCATTTATGCCAAACCGCCATTTATTCCATTTTCATTAAAGAGTAATGATTAAAATTGTCATAATTTGTGTTAATTCATCGAAACTTCAGCAATTCATCCAATTATCATTCTAAAAATTTTCTTGATTGAATAAAAAACATTTATTTTTGAGATGGTCAATAATTAACAACACCTTTTGTATTTGTCCAAATTTCCAATTCACAAAATTCACAAAACTTGACAAATACCTTTTAATAAATTTAACGAAATATAGTAAATTAATTTCTACAAATATTATAAAGATAAAATTTCGCATTGTTTTTCTTTCAAAATTTCTAACCAATCTTCTTAAATTTATTTCTTCTATTTTTGTTGCACTTTATATGGCTTTTTTTGAATTTTATTTTGCTGATCGAATACGATCATACCAACCAAAAAAATAAAAAAAAACCAGTTATGAATGTGCTGATGCGCATTATCCGTTTGTGACGAATATAAATCACAGAATAAGTCAGTTTAATTCTGGTGACATTACAGAAAAATGGTGTCAACATTGAATTCGACGTCATTTAATATGCATGCATGAATGAACAATGTCATCGAAAAAGTAATTGAATTAGAAAATTTATTAAAACTAGTAAAAAAAAAAGATTACTTCAATGCCAGAAAAGTAACAATTAGTTCAAAGATGACGAGCAGAAGTTTTCGAACAGTAACAATAACGACAAAAATAGCAATAGCAATAACAATC